GCTGTTTCAAGGCAAACTCGTTCAGCGCCTGACGACACTGGGCAACCAGTTTGGAGACTTCGGTCCCGGCTGCCACAACCTCCACAGCTGTGATAAATTTCTTCAGACGGTTTTCAGCCGTCTGCAAATCAAATCTATCACGGATGTGTTGTTCAGCATTTGGTCCGGATAAATGTATTTCAGTCAATAGCTGATTCCATAAGGCCAACAGTTCCTGTTTCCTATTCTCATCCTGCGTCCGAGTCTTAAGCTCGGACGGTCCATCGCCCACAGAGAGCGTGATCGGTATAGGAAACAAGAAGGTGGTCATGAACCTCGTCAGAATAGACTTTTGCAAACATTTCCAGAAGTGAGACATTTTCGGAGGACAGAAACAAGAAAATTCGTCGGCCAGGTTGGTCTACCGCAAAATAAATAAAAGAGACAATAATTTAACGATCACCCTAACCAAATTCACACTGTCTGAACAAAAAGATTTAATAACAAGGAACATAATTTTTTTACTAATTCTGATTGCTGTTCTATTTCTATGTGATGACGTTCTCTTCTATTTCAGGTACCGCGACTCAGGCCAACATGATCATCAACATACACAAGTAAGTACACAGGCACACAACACAGCACAAGACAACAGGTACAGGTAAGTCTGCCAACAAAATCACAACAATAATTAGCGTTCTTCCCCTGTTGCTGCTTCTTCTTCGGTCCTGTGTGATCAACACCCAATCTGACGTCTGGCACCACAGCCAAGTCAGTCTTCCAGCCGTGCCGCTTCAGTCATCAGAATGCAACTCTTACTTAGGCACATCCGTGTCTGCCACGTCACCCCTGGCATGCCAACTCAGCAACTCGAAGAGTATGCCACGTCAGCATGTCCAGTCAAGGTCATCAATGGGGTGCACGTCAGCAATGTGCGTCGATGTCGTCGTCGAGTAAGTCACGTTCCTGCCGGCCACGTGTATCCCCTGGTGTGCCAACATAGCAGCGCTTTGAGTCTGCCACGTCAGCACTATAATCCAGTCAGCATCATCAGTGAGGTACACGTCAGGAGCAATATCAGCGCGTATGCCACGTCAGCCAGGTAATGGAGTGCCACGTCAGACAATGCCACGTCAGCCTGAAGCTACTCACCACAGTAGACGAGTGGTGAGTCAGCAATGCCACGTCAGCACTCCTCCACAACCACCGGCCACGTCAGCAGTGCATCCCGATCGCAGATGCGATCGATCGGGATCTGGATGGCAGCGCGATCCCTGCTGGATTTTCCCCCTATCGGGATACCAATGCCAAGTTAGCACCTGACGTGCGCTTTTCCAGACTTATCCACGTCAACTCTTCTGTAGGCGTCACCACTTCTTCGACGTCGTTCTGTACAGGTCATCGTCATCGGTCACATCATCGGAAGTACAGCTCCGATACCAAATTGCAATGAACCCAGATCGTGAAGAGACTTGTCAACAATACAAACCCAGATAGATATCAACCTGCTGATGTTTGTCAATAATCATAGTCGTGTCCAGATCAAATGAGATGGGAAAACATACACAGACGAAGGAGAAAGAAGGGAGAATAGACTTAGAGTGGAGAAAGAAGACAATGCCCACTGATGCCTTGGGCTCCCTCCTCGATCGCCACCTCAATAATCAATAGTCTGAACGCGAATCTGAAGTTCTATCACAATGTACCACGTGGCACGTCAATCTGTCCTCATCAGCAAACTGGAGCAATGTCGACATCAAGAAAACCAGGTACGTATCTACAGTCGCCCCACAGTTACGATCTCCTCCCGAGTGACGATGAGTCAGAACAGCAATGTCAGTCATGTAGCCTCGCCACGTCAGCAACAATACATGTGGCAGCGGCCACGTCAGCAGCGGCGTGTGGCAGCTGCCACGTCAGCCTGCCCAGAAGACAATTGCCAGCCAGCAGCACGTCGCTGTAGTCGCCCAAGTGCCAGCGTCCAGCTAGCGTCGCAGCGTCGCGCTAGTGTCGTAGTCAAGGCGTAAAGTCAGCATTGACACAAGACAAAATGTTCTCCAAGCCAGGAGGTCCAGGCTTATGTAGCGTTGATGCGGGGTCTGGACCCCAGTTGCTGCTTCCCTCGGTCGTCGAGATCTCAAGGCAAATGACGGCCCGGATAGGCCTGAAACCGAACTCCCTGTGGCCTTAATGCTGTCTGGGTGCCTGCACACAACAAGTGAGTGTTTCCAACCAAGGGCCTGGGCGTGGTACCTTTGACAGTTGATTTAGACTTTTGACTTTCCAGGGCAGTGCTTGGTCACACTGCCTGGCACAGGCCGAGTTTGGCCTGTGTAGTCTGGGCTCTGTTTGAGGCCCAGACTGCTGCAGAACACGGGTTACTGCAACTATGACGTCTCCTCTCGCACAGCGCCATCATCGTTTCAGCAATCATTCCTTCGATAAACAATCACAATGTCTGACAACAATGATTGTCGGAGACTGATAGGGCCTTGCTTGACCGTTCAGCATTCTAACGAGCCTATGTCTGTCAGTCTGTGTGTTATAGACATCTCTTTGACATCAATCTCCTGATGAGTCGCTGAAAGTCCACCGACAGAGTCGGGTGCAGTCATGCTTTTTGCTACTATCTTATTACTTATCTATGGAGTGATTTTGAGCACTTCAAAAAGATATGATTATCCATCATTAGTGCGTAATGTGGGATGGTTGGGTTTACTCTCTGGAGTTGTATATACAGAACATGACACCACACACACAGTAAGACTAGTGAACACGCGTGAGAAAATGAAACGCTCACATGAAGAAAATATATGTTGATGTACAAATGGAAAACAGTTCAGAGTAAATGCCAAACGTGGAGCCCAGCACAGACAACCACTGCCCTGTTTGGTTTGAGGACAGAACCAGTGCAATTAAAAGTTGTTAAACTTGTTATATGTAGCCATAATGAAGGCCACAACATGCTACATATACAAAATGAAACCCGCTGAGGGCATGCCAACTTCAAAGAAAACAATGGCTAGCCCATACAAATGGAAAACAAGCCTTCAGAGAAGGCCACACCACTCCCTTGATCTGTCTGTCTTCCAACTGTGCAAAAAAAAAAACACTTCGAAGTTAAACCGCCAGCAAACGGCCCCAGCCTTGTGGAAATCTGTTCATCACCTACTCCAAAACTTTTGCAGCTCAGGCCTACCAGACCACAATGGCTGGCGGCGCCCGCCAAGAAAGGAAAAAAAAGTGTGTTGCTGGCAGTTTGGCAAAGCTTGGCGTGCAGTCCAGGGCCTCCGGGCCCGGGTGTACTGGTGGTTTAAACCACCACTTTCCCAAGCAAAGTCGGCAACTGAAAAGTTGGCATTCCAAAGATGCCTGGGCAAGCTTGGTGTTCTACCAGCTAGAGCTAACCCGGTGGCCCCCCAAGCCAGCATTGGCAGGACCTTGGCTGATGTTGTTGGTTGCTATGCAGCGACAATATTGGCCATTAGACACCGCCATGTGGGGTTTGGGGGGGGTAGGAGGAGGTGCAGTGACTGGCCATTGCTCGGCACTAGCACTGCTGATTTCCCCCATCAATGCCTGCCCACTCCTCATCCCCGTGATGAGGGACTGGTACAGCCTTGCTCTTGTACCACTGCTGTGGTGCTAACCTACCCCGTGGCTAGGGAGAGATCTAGGTTGGTTGGTGTTCCCCCATACTATGCATAGACTAGTGAGAGGATGAGATAGATGCATGCTACCAAGAAGATGAAATATATGAGAGAAGAATATAGTCAGCAATTCAATTGTGCCGTCCAAAAGAAGTGTTTCTTTCTTTTTTTGTACTTGTCGGGAACCGACTTGCTAAGAAGAGCCTCAGATGTAATGGTGGTTTAAATTTTTTAGTCACACCCTAGCAAAGAAAGCTTATCTCTAATACCTTAAAGGAAAAGGCGGGTCTCGCGCAACGGGCCCACGCGAGACAGCGCTCCCGGTGACAGGGTCCCACACGTGAGACCCGGTTCTTTCTTGAAGGCGGGTCCGCCGTCATGCGAGACCCGCGCCCGCGGAGCGAACCGTGGGACGGGCGGGGCCAGGTGTGATATGCGCCGACGCGAAACGGCGCAGGGCAAAAAAGGCCGAACTCCGGGATGGGTGGGGCCCGGTACGACGCGCGTCGGGCCAGGGGAAACAAGGCCAGGAGCTGGCAGCCGCGGGTCTCGAGAGGAGGATGAGACAGATCCGAGCAGGGCTTTGCGAGGATTAACGGTGGCCCCGTGTGTGTGTGTGTGTGTGTGTGTGTGTGTGTATGTTGTGTGTGTGTGTGTGTGTGTGTGTGTGTGTGTGTGTGTGTGTGTGTGTGTG